TTGCAAACGAATAATAACGTAGATAGAACACAGTGGCGGTTTTATAGAAATGTTCTTATTATTGCCACATTCATTTTCCAAACTTTGTGAATAATGAGGAACATCTGAGATGAACACGAATGAATTCTTTCCAGCACATACTTAATAAACCTGGAAATTTTCATAAAAAAATGTACCAGTTTTGCTCAGCCATTTTGGGCTTATTCTTCAAGTGGAAACAATTAGATTAACCTTAGGATAGGGTGTTTCCTTTTTTTTTGGGCTTGCATTAATGTTAAAATTTACACAGTCTGTCATTTAATGTATATTACAATTCTTACACCCAGTGCCTAAAAGAAAATGACAGTGTTCAATTTCCCGCAGAATTGAAATATTAAAATTATTAGAAATTTAAGCCTATGTGTGGTCTCAGGTCAAGGCAAATTTTTATTTTTCTATATCACTTTGAAACTAACATATGACCTCTATCATTCAGACTCATAAAAACAAACACAGTGATATCTAATAAGTCAGCTGGATATTTTTTTGACCATATGCTAAGAATTTTAGATTATATATTTACATCTCTATACCATAACAAAGTAGTAATATTAGTAGTAAGATTATTAATAATTCTGGGTAAAATCTTACACATTGCATAAATTAAAATTTACAGTTGCACACTCTGTAAAGTAATATTATAGATGATATCGTTATGAATGAAAATAATATATAGTTTTGGTAAATAAAAAATCTCAGTATTTTTTGAAAAATAAATAATAGATTCTCACTAGATCTCATATTGAGTTTGCAATTCTTTCCTGAGATCACTATGAACTTTAAAAACTGACTTTAATCCTCTAGTTTCCGCCATACAGCACAATAATCTAATATAGTAGAAAACATTACCCATTTGTTTCTGTAGATATTGGCTGAATTCAAATTCATTGTATGGTAGATTAATAATATTGAATTGGGTCTTTCATGCTCCTGCAATGAGGATTAGGATATACCCCTGTATGTAAAATCACAGTTGTGGATTAAAACATTATGTACCAGTACACGGTGCATTATAAAAAAAATTGAGTATTGAGTACTGGTTTATAAAGTGAAGTGAATGATACAAATTTTTAGCTCCGCTGTCATCTTTGTCTTAAAAATTATAAGCCTTATTGCTTTGATACTATAAGTACCTTGATATCTTTAATTCTCTAATTTCGGTGAATATTTTTGTCATTTTTGGTAAATACTGCAGGTCCAATTGCGTTGACATCATACATACATGTATATAAATATCACTAAGATTTGTAACACTAAAAACTAGTCTAAGCTCAACATGGATTTCAGTGAATTTTGTCTTCTCAAATGGGATACAATCATAAAATTGCTAACAATTTCAGCAGTGAAAATTAAATGGTTTTATAACCCAAGAATTCCAGTAGGTATATTTTTATGGATATTGAGAAACATAACAATAACATTTGAATCGCTTTACATAGTAACATGTTTATAAAAAGGTATTCATAATTACTGTTTAATACATACCCCATCAAGAGTTACATCCCTCATAATAGTTTCAATGGTTCATCTAAACCATCTGTTGTTAGCAGTCAGCAGAATAGCAGTCACACATGCATGATAAAGCAGTGTCTAATGTGGAGTTAATTTTAACTCACAAGAGTATTTTCTTTTTATTTGTTTTATAGGGTGACTCATCTCTCGAGTGTACTCAATATTTAAGACATTGTAGAGGTCACAATATTTATTTTGATTTTAGCAATCTGAATTCTGGTAACAGTAGACAAAGGTATGTGAATTATTTTGAGTGCATGTTTTATTTATTAAGTGGTCTGTTTGCAACAAAATATTGATATCAAGATTTAAAAATATTTTTATAAAAATATAACAACTAATAATAATAACTTGTAATTGTTTTAAAAATATTTTATGGTATTTGTTCAATTATAAAATACCGAAGCAAAAAATTGTTGAAAGATATGCTTTACTGAAAGTTTGTTTTACTGATGGTTATTTTTTGACAAAACATTTTGAATACAGATTCAGAAATGATATCTTCCATGAAGGTGAAATTGGAGGTCATTGTCAGTTAAAAGTGGATGAATTGAAAGCAGAATCTGCCCATAATAGTGAGCTACAATCATGGTGAGTTATTTCAAGTTTGAGCATTTTTATCACCTTTGAATTTAATAAAATGATACAGCATAAGACCTGTAACTTGTGGGAACTGATTAATTATGGTGTGGATTATGGTGCGGATTATAGTGTGGATTATGGTGTGGATTATGGTGCGGATTATAGTGCGAATTATGGTGCGGATTATGGTGTGGATTATTGTGTGAATTATTGTGTGGATTATGGTGTGGATTATGGTGTGGATTATTGTGTGGATTATGTTGTGAATTACGATGTGAATTATGGAGTGGATTATTGTGTGTATCTTGGTGTTTATATTTCTGAAATGAAACTTGCTTTGTCAATTTAATTTTTATTTATGACCTTTTCACCCTGCAGAGCTTATTGAAATACACATTCAAATGAAAGATAATGACCGTGCAACAAACCGCCAGTATATGCACTTCTGAACAATTAAAACTAAGTATCGTACTCATGTTTTGAGACAAATAAAATACAAAACATTATAATGGCAAGTTTTTATAAGAGACCATAAAAACACAAATAATAGAAACAATATGACTCTGACATTGATAGATATTTTATGTTGTTGCAGTCTTCTATAATTAGGTTACCTTTGAAATGCTTGGATTCTGTGAGAAAGACACTGACCTTGGGTACACAATGACCGCTTTGTCAATGTGGCTGTGAGGTGTTGAAAATTAGGAGAAACGTTTTCTATAGAATGTGCTGAACAAATACTTTTACTAGCCACTTACAAAATTGATGAAACAAATCAGTGGATGTTGCTTTACCAGTAGTTTATAAGAACCATATCTGTTGACACGATGAATGAATGGATGTTGAACTAACATAAATAAATCTGACTAACTCTGACTTGTTGGTGTCATTTAGGTGTTGCTACACTGTAACTAGTAAACTGGATTTTACTGAGAATCTAATATTCAATAACAAAAAATGTTCATGAAAGATTGAAAACAAAATATTTTGATGATAAACACAACAATTAATTAGTGAAATCAACGTCTATGCCATAACTAATGCGACTAAAAAGGTATTTATTTGAACTTTATTTCCCTTTACTTATTATTTACTTGTTCATTCATTTGTTCTTTCATTCATTCACTCATTCATTCACTTCTTTGATCCCAAAATTCATGATCATGTTTATGCTCATTTAAGTGTAGCAAATTGTACTGCTATGTCATTTTTCAGTTGGTTTGTTGTACAGCTTAGGAAGTAAATACTTCAGTAAGGTTGAATGCACATGGTCTATTCAGAATTAGTATGATTGATTGGTTAAATTAATTCCCATCAGTACATAGGATAAGCTAGTGTGGTGAAAGGAAAGTGAGTAGTCATGCATGTAGCAAAGAAACTTTTGAGTACATCGCTTGTGTGTGGAGTACATGTATAGAAAATGTAAAAGTTAACTAAGGTTGAATGGCTTCCAGTCAGTGTAATTCGCTATAATAATTGCTGGCTTGGTTGCGCAATAGTAGTGTACATGCTAGTGATGACTGGGCTAATTTGGATCAAAGTTGGTATGGTGATTATACATATTGGGTTACAGGTGAATTTCATTTTTTTCTGTGACTCAAAAAAATATGGCCTACTGGTAGCCATTTTGTCTTTATTGGTTCCATGCCAGTTTCTCTTGAATGAAAATACCTTTTCTGTTTAAATTTAGTGGACAGATAGATGAGTTGCATGGTACACATCTTTTTGTCATTCAACCAAATGTGGTTGATTGGTGGCCATTTTGTATCTCATAGTTAACATGCCAGTTTCTCTTGAACTAATCTTAGTACCAAAATGATAGAATACCAAGTAGATATATCTACATTAACATTTACTTTTGTGATTTGATTTAAAATGGCCGGCCATTTTGTTTTTGTGATTTTTTTTAAAACAAAATTTGTCTAATTTTGTCAACTTTGGTTATACAGACTTGACAGTATACACGTGTACATAATTTCTATGAAATGGTGGATATTCTAGTCCCGAAGAATGACATAAATTGTACTTGGCAGTTTACTGACGCTCAAGTTGCATTACTTTCACTTGTGATCTATAAAGACAATGTTTAGCAGGGACTTTGTCATGTTCAACGTCTTGTTTTACTTGTATACCAGGTATTATTCTAAAAAATAATCTTGAATTATTTCTTGTAGGTATGCTGAACTTAATAGCTTTACTTCATTTGATTTTCAAATACCAAACACAAAAGACTGTGATATTATAATCAACAAACCGACTTATTTTATGAAACTTGATGCAGGTAAGAATTTTTTGACACTCCTCAATTCAGTATGTCTACATGAATTTGTTATAGTACATGTATATGCATTGACTATTTTCATAAGATAGATGCCTACTCATCAAAGAAAAATACCGAATGAAATTTGGTCACCAAAGAAAAAGTTGTTCATAAATATTTTTTTTAAATATTTTTTAATAGAAATGCTTGTAAATTAACAGTTACCTTTAGTAGATTCTGGGTTATTAGAATGAAACTTGTTTTCATCATTGACAAACTTTTGCCATTTTTGTAAGATCAAGCACTAATAGATCAAATATGGTAGATCAATCATGACAGCCATGTTGTCAGTGTGTTGAAAACATGCACGAGGTACAATTATATACCATGGTATGACTGGCTACTTCTTTTGTTTTGAATTTTTTTTTAAACTCTAGGTTTTCAGAAATAATGCTTTTTTATTGTGTCATATAGTAACTCTTCTCAAAATAGCATTTTTTCCACAAAAGGTAATTTACACATTTGTAAAAATTATAGTACTATATAGGAATTTATTTTTATCTGGGTTTTCACCATTATCAATGATAGGTATAATCTGTGAAATGAAATCCATGTGAGCATGACAACATAACTCATTGTTTCCCTGGCAAATTTTTGAACTTAAATTAAAACCCAGTAAAAACATCAAAATATTAAAATTAAAATAGTAAAAAATAAATGGTTTTACTGTCTACAACCACTGAACAGAATGTTGTTCAGTGAACATTTATAGACAGACTATTATGAATATTGCCAGTCTTTTTATCAATGTTTTCAAGCATTATACATGTATGTACTGCCTACTTATAATTCTACTTTAAGGTGTATTCATGTCTTGCTTGTTTAAATCAAATGTTTATCTAAATTCAATGGATCCTACTCTATGATAGAAAGTAACATTCATTCTGAAGAATTTGATACCTTGCAATAAATAATGCAATATCCACTTTTGTTTCATAAATAATAACATTTTTTTATTATAACTTTGCTATTAACTTGGATTTGGACTATAAATTAAATCAGTGTATCATCAAAAAATATTAAATAATACTATGTATGATTTGATGTGCAATCTTTCTTTGTTTTCTTGACAGGTATTAATATGTATCACCATTTCTGTGATTTTGTTAATATTTATATATCACAGCATATCAATAATTCATTCTCATCCGATGTAAATATCGTCATGTGGGACACTGTAAGTATACTCACTTTCAATCTTGTTTTGGTTTTGTCGCGGTTTGGAAGAAAAGAATGTCATACTGAGCGTTGATAATCCCATTGAGAATTCTCTCTCTTGATGCAGTTTCTATGGAAACAAGCAGTCAGAGAAAACACTTTGATATGCTTAATTTGAAAATATATGATTATTCATGTTCCTCTTATCATGGCATGTTGTACATGTATTTAATATTATGAAACATAACGACTGAACCATATTGCAACATGTGTGATGATGGTTGTATTGCCAAATAATCAATCCATATTTATTCCAATTGCTTACCCTAATTATGGAGCTGTTCTGACTTACTAAAACCAGAAAACCTCATCCATATTTATGTACTTTACATCCAAAAAATGTACTATGGTGTTTCAGTACAATTATATTTTGCATTTATTTATCGGTATTGTGTAAAATAATAAATTAACATTTTTGATATTATTTCACTGTGTGAATATGACATGTATGACTTGTTTGTTGCTGTAACTAATTTATGTTATTATGTGTCAGTCAAATGTTATTAGCTACACTGTTGACTTTGTCGAGCGGAGCTTATCATATGAGTGATTGTTCGTCTTCCGTCATTCATGTCAATGTTTTACTTTTTCGACTTCTTCTTGAAAACTACAAGCTTGAATGATTTGATACTTGGTGTATATGTACCTTGGGTAGACCTCTCTTAGGTTTGTTCATTTCATGTTGATATCTTCAATTCTCTAATTTTGGTGAATATTTTTGTCATTTTTGGTAAAAAGTGATATTTTCGACTTCTTGTTAAAAACTGCAAGTCCAATTGCTTTGATATTACATATATAGGTACTAAATCTGGACCTCTCTCAGATTTGTTTATTTCGTGATGATATCTTTAATTCTCTAATTTTGGTGAATATTTTAAAATTTTTGGTAAAAAGTGATATTTTCGACTTCTTGTTAAAAACCGTCTGATTGCTTTGATACTATACATATAGGTACCTCAGGTAGACCTCTCTCAGATTTGTTCATTTCGTGATGATATCTTCAATTATCTAATCTTAATGAATATTTTTGACATTTTTGTTGAAAACAGCGAGTCCGATTGCTTTGATACTATACATATTGTTCATTTTCTAATGATATCTTCAGTTCTTTAATTGAAATGTGCATTGCTAACAGCGGAGCTATCTCAGCCGATAGGCTGCTTGTTTTCATTTATTATTTGATAAGTTGTGTGAAATGTAATTCAAAGAAATGGCAGACCTGGTGCACAATTTTTGAAAAACAAGTTTAGTATATTTCAGAACAATTTGTATATGCAAATATCAAGCTTAATTATAACATCCGTGTTAAGTCTACTACATCATTAAAGTGAGAAACTTTTTGATATAAATTTGTTTAAAATGAAATGTACGTTTATTGCATCCTTATGTAACATCAATATGACGTTTGAATTTGTTCATGATTTATTTTATCACCATGGTAAATGTATTAATTTTTCATCATGCTGTGTTATATTATGTTTTTTTTAAATCTTTTTGCCATCATTACAAATCAAAGCTGCTTAATTATAGTCCCTGTGCGGACCAATAATTTTGCTGAGAAAAAATCCGCAGCTCAAAGCGTTAAATATGGTAGTATAAGGTTATGTGCACTGGAAAAATAATAATGTACCAAGTAAATTCAATGTACAATATCAGCAGCTTTAATTAAAAAAACTTATTCAATATCTTGCAAACCTTGTTGTATATATTGGAAAGAATAATAATAATCAGTCAATACGTTTTAATTTAGAGTTTCTGTACATGTAAGTATACATATAACAAAACAATCGCATTATGCAGAGATTGCTGTGTTCTCTTGTGATTCCTCGTCGTAATGTCATAGCAACTAGCATCACCATGGGTACCAACTCCACATCTCATACTTTGAGTTCTTCTCTCGTTGCTTTTGCGCTGCTATAATCTTCATAATGTGTTCGTGTTACAGGCTAACTTCGGCTATTATGATCTTTTTGAAATTGTATGGCAGGTATTTACTGATAATCCAGTAATTCACCTTAAAGCATGGAATGGTAAAAAGGTAGCATTTCATTTACTCCCACGTAGAAGCCCCCTACTGTGCATGGTGGCTACACACCAGCTATGTAGTACAATGCACATTTTAAAGTACAAACATTTTGAAATCTAATTTTTCCATTTTTTCTCCACTTCAACATAGAGTGGCTTAAGCTATGGCGACTTCTTTAGTGCAACATGGCAAGCATTTAGTGACTATCCCATCATACCGATCAAACGGTGGGATGGAAAAAAGGTATGGAGAGCTCTAATAAGAGTATATAGCAAGGATTTACCCGTAAAACAAAGACTTATGTTATGATGTTGTATTTCTGGATTTTTGACCTTGTAACCCTGGCAACAGATGGTGTATAATATGAGATTTTGTTTTGTTAGTGAATAGCTGCATATTGATTAGATTCATTTGCATATGATACATTTATGACATTCTGCAAACTGTTTTATTTCCACATCTAAGATTCACAATTTGATAATTTAATTAATGGAAAAAATATTTGTGAAAGTCACAGGGACTTGTCTTCAAAACCCAGTAAAATATTTAATGCTACAAAATTGTCCAGGAATTGCAAATTTTGCGAAAATTGATTTAAACTATTTCATCTGTATTGTATATCATTTATGACATAAATGGCTTCAAAGCACAGATATATAAGGGGCATGGTAAAAGATTGATCAATTTCTTTTTAAATTGATTTCATATAAAAATGTTAATTTCTCGACTAGGATTTATAATTATAACTTTTCACATATCTCAAGCTAGGTAATTCTAATCAGGTTGTTGACCCTTCTGTAAGATTGGCGTCATGGGCTCAACAGGTCAATAAAATCTAATTTAAATATATTTTATTATTGTTATATAAAATTTATTTAGATGCATCACAAAAGACCTTGTGCAGAAAATAAAGAAAAAATGTGTACATATTAATTAAGTATCTTGGCATAGTCTATTAGTGTTTGAAAACTGAATACACCTTCGAACAACTTTTTGATTTAAAATACAAGTGACACACATATAACATGGAATAAAGAATTCTGATTTTGAAATTATCCCTGCAATTATCTAAATTTGTTGAAAAATTAAAGTTAAATATTAAATTGAACATGCTGCCAAAATATTGCTAAGATTAACAATCCAATTTTGCATAATTTATTATTGTTGAGTTAATATTATATTGAGTTATTCTTCAATTGGAGGGTTTCTATTATGTAAAGGATTTACATTCAGTATCACTCATCTAGCATAGAAACTCTTGTCAGAATCCTTGCTGAATACTCTTTGTTAAGTAGAGGTCAGTGTCATGTTTGTCTGATAAATGATAGACGAACAGTTTTGGGACTGTGTGACTTGTAATCGCCTTGTGTTATACACAAAATCTAGATTCCTCTCTGAATAGAATTCTGAAATAAAACTCCTTGTATACTTTGATTGGCTTCTGTTGAAATAAAAATCTCAATATATCTGTTATCAATGGCGGGGATTGCGTGAGCTTTCACACATTGGCATTAAAACGTTAATATAAATTGACACATTTCAGCACTTCAACGGACATGTGCTTTATTGCAACTGACGTGCTTTCACTGACCACCATGCTTTGAATGATATTTTGATCATGAATAATTCAACTTTATTAAAAAAGGTCATTAATGAAGACACTCGCATGTTTCATTTGCAGTACATGCTTGGTTAAAGTTACATGCTGAATAATTCTGTCAAGTGACCTGTGACATTTATTTTAGTGTAACCATAGCAATAGAAACACTGACTGTTAATGCTTCCAAAATACCAATCCCTTCTGGCAGTGGATTAATGATTTAAATTAAATTGCAGCAAATTACAAAATTATCAAAAACTCTCTGAGGCTATCGAGGAATTCAAAATTACTTTCTTTAATTTATCTTTTCCGGCACTAGACTCCCTAGGTGAAACAATGACGCAATCCAAACTGTAGAACAACAATATATTGGGATTATAGATAACCATATGTAAATCTATGAACACAAGACTTCGTAAAGTAGTTCTCTTTTCCTCCACTACACAGACCCAAAATATATCTGACCTCTATGCTTCATTATTATCTTGCTATCATTTAGTTTTATTTCTCATGAATTTTCAACTTTTGCTAATATGTGCATTTGTTGACCGTTTAGTTAATGTTTTTATTACATAGGTGTGCATGAAAGAAGCTGTGTTCTCTTTACTGCCAAGGATGCAAAGAGGATTTTATTACAACATGCCATTAGTTCCTAGTTGCCATGGTAGCGGAATTATCAAGGCTTTTTCACAGCATCTTATGCATAGACTAAAAATACCACAAGAAGGTCCTTTGGTGAGTATATATCCAATAGATGTCCAATAGCGTTAAAGATGTAATGATAACAATTTTACCATCAGGAATGTGGGAAACTACCGGTACATTTAATTTTTGACAAATGTATAAAGAATATCACAATTTCGGCTGTGACTGTATCTGCAAATCAGATTATGACGCCTTTGAGGGCGCTTTATAATAATAATTGCTTTCTTGTATTAAGCCTAAGCTATGCATTCTAATTATACTTTACTTTGCAGAAAAACAAAGTACGTGTGACTTTGCTAGCCCGGAATACAAAACACCGCAATATAATCAACCAAAATGAGGTATGAATTGAACTGATAGTTTATTTTTTTATTGTGATCAACATTTGTATTTGTCTGCTATGACTACACTGATATGCTCTTTGATTTATTGACAGTTAGTAAAGGCTATGAAGAAAGAGAAGGATTTAACTGTAAAAGTAGTGGAATATAATCGGTAAGTTGACCTTTCACCCTTATCTGACTGAAATAAGGTTTTGTGATATAAATTGTGAATGAAAAATTTCTTTTGGTACACTGAAACCTGGATGAATTTATCAAGGGACAGATTTTTCCCGACTACTCTTCCTTCCTTATGCTCCTCTCCCCACACAGTTAAATTGCTATACACATGCACGGATTACAGTCTAGATTTTGATTTAAATGCTATATATCTTAAACTTTGAACTCATGTGAGTTTGAGTATTTTTACTGTATTAAGACGATATTTATTATCCAACTATTTTATCTTTCAGAAACATGCCATTCTTAAAGCAGCTTAAGGTAACCGACCTTTTTAATTCGGTTTTGATAAATTTATTTTGAATATCATAGTTGACATTTTACCATAATTCCAATATTGAGTGTTTATTGTTGTATTGCAGTATACCCATAATAGTGATATATTTATTGGAATGCATGGAGCTGGACTTACTCATTCCCTCTTCCTGCCTGACTGGGCTGTGGTCTTTGAATTGTAAGTATATTAATTTATTAGGCTTGTGTGAGTCAATTACACTTGTGAATTCAAAGATGCACAAATGTTAAACATCTGAAAAGAAGCTTAGAATATTATGTTACATTAAAGAGGTTTGAGCCAAAATTAAAATTATATTTCATCTTCTTCATATTTTTATTATTATTAATATTAAAAATGGGGTCATAGGACAATTTGAATTTTTGCACAAGTTTCTATGGTGAAATTATTTCTTTATATTTCTTTATTTCTTTGAACTTGGTGACATGTTATTATTGATATGAATTCTAATGTTAAATCATTTCAAAAATTTACATTTAATTTAATATTTTTCCAGTGTGATAATCTTTTCCATTATATACAATGGGAAATCTCTCCCATGATGCTTTGTACATGTATGGAGTAGAATGTACAATAGTGCTAAATTTGAATTCAGTGATTGTTCAAATGATCAGTTCATAACCAGCTGTTAGTTCGTCAAATTAAAATTTATATGCTTTCTGACATTTCATTCGTGTGTGGACTTTACTAGAAATCTGCAAATATCATGAAATGATTTACCAGTTAGTGACGACTCACATGTATTTGGCTTAACATTTCCTTGGATGATACACATCCTTGGTGTTCTCTAGTATCTTTTGTTTTATAACATTTGTTTTTGTGTATTTAATCACATTTGTCTACACAGTGTTTATGCCATAGAATCCATTACTGCAGTGTCTGTGAGATGACAGATGCTTTAAAAATATGCAATTGTTTATTGTACAGTGAGGTACTACTCTTTATAGTGTAATTTGTGCCATAGAGGGCGCTGTTATAAAATGTCCGATTGGGGGCACTATTTCCAAAGTCTTTTGTATTTAAAGAAGACAATTACACATATGTGAGTTCAACCTGCTAAGTAAGAGTGAGACTGATTGGCCGTTAATGGTTGTATGAAAGAAATATAACATTTAGTTATATGTGTTTGCATGATACCATAGATACAATTGTGAGGACCCAAGGTGCTATCGTGATCTGGCCAATCTTAGAGGAATCAAGTATGTGACTTGGATCAGGGTCAACAAACTAAAAAAACACAATGAGGTATGTACATGAATTAATACTATCAGCTACGATTACAATTTTTCGCTCAATGAGACTTACAGTCAGTTGCATCAGCACTTGTATCGTTCAATTTGACACGCACAGAGTCATCAAAACCAGCTATCTGATTTTAATCATTAAATAATTTTGAATATTTTTTCATCGTTTCAGACCAATCACCCATCTCTGGGCTACCCCCATGCCAAATTTACAGACTACGAGTTTGATGTTAAGGAATTCATGAAGATAGTTCGTCATGCGGCAGATTACGTTAAACAACACCCAAAGTATAAAGAACACAATAATGAAATCATAAAAGATGAATTGTAGCGATAATTCATATGTCAGTATTAGTATGAGAAGCCTACCATCTGCTCTCATATCAAACAATAATTTACATATTCCACCAGACATAACTGCTTATTTTCAGCAGTTGTCCAGTTTAAATTTAATCTCCCTCAACAACTTTCCTTATTATTTAGCATTAACCATCTGAGTAGAATTCCACTTAGTTGATAATTTTGTTGTTGCCCAATGTACAATAAGATTCAAGTCTGAGACAATTGTTGCTTTTTTAAAGCAGTTGTCATTGTGCTATAAATATTGAGATGTGTCAGTGTAAAACAACTATAGATAAAATGACCAATCATTAACCCATTGGATGCGATAATCATATTTTTTTGGTGCAACATTTTATATATTTTTTTAAATATTTTTCTAGATTTAGACCAAATTGACACAATTACCTGCAGATTTTGATCAACATTTTCAAAAAACATGGAAATAATTTGATGCAAATTTATGTTGTTAAAGGCTCGACTTTGATATTCAAAGGCATAAAACTAATTCAAATATTAATTATATGTAGAGAAGTAGAGTTAAGTACTAGCAAATAGTTGCAATCTAGTAGTACTGGTAGTTAATAAAGCAACATGAATACAATGTTGCATCTATTTACCTAACAATCCATAATACATTACTACAACTGAATGTAACCATCTGCATTCCTAGTATAAATGCTCATACATTATTTATACAAATTTCTATTTAAACTGTCTCTATTTTTATTTCTTAATTTTATCTCCAATGCCTTTCAAGTATATTTTTAATGTAATTTTTTACTATATTTGTGCAATTTGTTGTGTAGTCTTAATATAACATTGAACCTCGATTAGTTACTATGTAACATAATAAATCTGTTTGCTTTGTGAACTCTGAAATATTTGAATAAAGTGTTAGTCTATTGTCTTAAAATACTTTTATGAACTACATGTGTCTTACTTGTATATGTTTTATTGAATGCGAGAGATAATTACCGGTATAATAATACAATTTGTATTGAATAATGTATTAACTACATACCATTACGTTTCTAATGTTAAAACACCAGAAAGGTCAATCTAATTTTTTAGAAATGATCTCAATAATTAATAATTATCCCAAATAAGGCACATTGTTTCAGTCACATTATAAATGTTGATGTCGCAAATGAAATTGCAATGATTTGTTTTCTTTAGAGAAAATATTAGATTTAAATTCAGTCATACCACCATTATTAATATTCTGCACATTTATCATAATTGATCACTATGAGCTATGTCAAGCTAAACATCAGCTGTTAGCCATGTGATATGTTGAAGCCTTACCAATAGACCATTGATTATGTGCTCTATTTTCACTATTCTGGAATTGAATCTCAGTCGCATGTGGATGGACTGGGTTTAAATGTCGTACATGGATTGAACACAATGGGACCTTGTCATTTAATTTTTCAGATCAGATTCAAAGTGGCTGACTGGCGGCCATTATGAATTAATGATGCAGTTCTGGATACAGTTTCTGACACTCCAAGCCCAATCAAGTTAAAACTTCACACATATATCAGATCGACATATATACCTGTATTTACATCATAATCAATTGAAAATGATTGTCATCAGGATGGAACCAGATCTCGGATTTGGTTTAAACATGATACATTAACATAGTTCATAGTCCCAGATTGGGTTAACACCATAGCAAAAAAGTCCCCAAAGCTAGGTTTAGCTCACCTCCCCAGAAATATTTGACATGATTGGAAACAAAAATGACAATTTTATAACAATTTCCATTGACTGGACTGCCTTGACTTGAAAAGTCGATGGTACGTGTTGATAACTTGAATAATCCCATCTAGAGACCTCTATGATGCAGTTTACTGAAAAAAAGTAGACGAGTTCACTGAAGGACAGTTTGGTGAAAAAGAAAACAATAGTAAATGCCTTGAGGTTATGACAAAAATAGTGCAAAGTATGATAAAGGCAATGTGGCACTAGAATTGATAAACTCAGTCCAGATACCTTTCACTCATGAGAACTGGTTCACATATCATTCTACATCTACAAGAAGGATGCGATCTATTCCGTGAAAAAAAATCCGGAACTCTTCTTGCTGTGCTTGATTCGATCTCATCAGCACCTCCTTTACTCAACTGCATCATCCCCTACAAATAAGAAAGAAACCAGATTTCCTAGACGTCCTTCCTCAAGTTGTATTATCGGCAAAAGCTATCTAAAGCTTTTAACATTTTAAATAATATGTGTACTCACAGTGGTGTACTGTTGTTATAGTTGTCACTATTTTATCTCACATATGTCATAATCAGGTCACGGCATATAACCATGGAAATTCTAGAAAGTTCATTCGTCATTTGACTGCGAAAAGAAAAGCAACGCAAGCAGCAGTATTGCAATATAGCTCACTGTTTTGCAAACATAATAGCAATATAGATAGTTCAAATGCAACAGTTTGTATGGTAAGCTAATGTCAATATTGTTATTGTGTTAGAAAAAACAGGGAGCTATATTGCAATATTGTTGGTTGGGTTGCTTTTTCGTTCACAGTAAGACAGCCATGATACAAAAGACAAACGTACAGTACGTCACGTTTCGATCAGTATAACGCGAACGTAACTGTCGGGTTTGATTTTTGGCCAAAATACTTAAAATTGAAAGGTCGTTAACTAAGTTTTGCTGACAACACAAGAGTAGCTCAAGAATATAAACTCTCTACTGCAGATTCTTCCTCGTTGCCCTGCATCCAAACTTACGGGTAGAAAAGTCTTATACGTTCGGCAAAAAAGTGACAACTGAGTCTAACTTTAGTAATGCTACAGTTCATACTAAGTTAGCGGTGCTGTATCTGAGACCTATTGCCGAGGTTTCCCGATGTTCAGCAATCGCAGGTTGTATTAAATAAATGCGCCAATTCTAGAGTGCAATATACTAGTAATGTCGATACATCTACCATTAATTCAGTAATGGTATAACTAATACAAAAGTTTTACTTAGTACAATTGATTATGTATAATAATTATTCATCTCAGTAGCGCCCGCAATCAATCAACACAATAAAAATGGGTGTGCTTTGCCATCTCAATTATGACACTTTTAGGAAAATGTTCAGAAGATAAAATTAAAATGCATCATGCATCGAATGAACAATACTAATAATAAAGTTGTCTTTTTGCGAATTAACCTTAACAACAATTGTCTCCCTAGTACGTATATGCAGAACAACGGGTGTAGAAAATTACATACCTAACCTCAATCACGGTGCTTCTAGATATGGTCACACGATGTGTACTTCCCATTTGTTCAGTTACCAGATCACTGTACACAAACAGAACAGACCATTCTGTATTCGGTATTATCAATATGTCAATCACGCACATAAATACGACAAACCCAAACAAACACACACACAAAAATACGGCTACTTATATAACGCATTCAAAATTTGGTAAGAAAGTCGTTTATGACATTGATTCTAAATGATTATTTGATATATGGAAATGTTTACACAAAATACACAGAATACATAGAAGTCAAAACAACTCGGGAGCTATTCCTTGCAGCTGGAAATAGTCGCTGACTGACGTTCTTTCGTACGAGACTAGTGCTAGAGACTGCAAAATAAATATCACATTACATTATTCATTTCAAAGATATACTTGCATAAATTTAAGCTCCCAGAAACTGATAAAATTATGTCCAAACAGGGGAAAAAGAAAATCAGTAGAACATTGAAGGAAATGTATGTGTGTCAGTGAAACAAGCAATGAGTCAAGTATGGTATTGTAGGCGTGAAAAACAAATTGAAATCTATGTTAACCTATTGATTCAGAAAAGGATCGCCATTGCAATATTCAACGAGAATTTGAATCTTGTGTTACACGAACAAATCGGAGAAGAGGATCACTATATATTATAAATTTCACAAGAATGGAAAGTACACACTAAAGGAATATGTTCTCTGAGGCAATCAACCTCACAGAATTCGAAAAAAAACGAATAACGAGATTTACTTATTGACTTTAATAATCTCATTATTTATTTATTTTTAAAAAAAATATCTGTTTTTTATTAATAGTTTGTCATCGGTTATGTTAGTTAATAACACAACTATCTATTAGAGTTGTGTTAATTATAAAAACATTTTTTGTACACTCATTGTATATGTCGTATGGAACCCATATCAACACGACTGTGAGCAAAGCTGCTTTTATCACAATATTAATTTATATAATACAGCATAGACTCAATTGAAAACACAGATTATTTATTTGTTCTTCAATAATTGAAGACAGAAGTAATTATATCAGGCAGGCAGGCAGTCAGAGTTTCGAAGTTGCATTTGTTATTGTTAATTTATAGAAACTAAAGACAACCATACCATGCATTGAAGCAATTCTTCGCCATTTATATCTCCGCACTAAAGATACTCATCTATACAAACAACAAACCCAAAGTTTTTAACATTCAGCTACAGGAATAGTATTCATGTAAGATTTATTGCGTTTGTGCAAACTGATGTTATGATTTCAAGCAAAAATGCTTAAAGTGTGTAATTAGTAAGCAAATTAGCTAATTAAGATATGAACATTAATTACAGTAGTAGTAGAAGTAGCAGACATTCAACTATACAAACAGCATGTATTCACCAAGTTTTAACCCATCTGAGAAAACGTACATTTATCTAATTGATATGCATGATTTTGTACAAGAATCTGACCAGGTCTGGTATTCACGATACTGCAGTCCACCTATTAGCTCCTGAGATATCAGTGGAAAAAGATTTGACACAGACACACATACGAACAGACAACAGAAATATCATAATGGCATTATCCTTCTATTGTACTCCACTAGCAAAAAATAACATTAGTAAATATTAGGCAAATTAGAATTTTTTGGAGCTCGAAATGTTTAGTCATGGAAACATCAATATCTTGTCATTAGGATGGAACAAGTCACAGACGTCGTGAGATTATTTCAATCTACCACTGTTTGCCGCTGCTGTAGTTAAAATTTGAATTTAATATCCCCACTACATGTTTCTATCAGAGTGATTCTATTCTTCACATAGGAGTGCACAGCCAATATACGCACGCAGTAACCTGACATTGCTGGTAAATACAGGGCTCATGAACACCCTCAAATATATTTGCTGAGACGCAATTTGGGTTGCTGTTCTATTTGTTGTACAGGTGGTCTCTTATTTGTTTCTTCTTGTTTGAACTTCTTTGCACCTTAGTAACAGGTCGTATCAGATTTAAAAGTTGTATTTATGACATGCGCAGTGGGGACTGATTGATAAGTTTTATCAAAGTCAAGACTGATTGGTTGTTACTTAGTTTGGTAGTGTAGCAACACTAAACATAAATCGACGATATCAAACGTTATCATATGTACATTTCAGAACATAGTATAACCCGCATGTACAGTGCTCATTCGACTCTCAGCAAGAAATGGATAAGTATAGGTGTTTAGTTGCCACAATTGTTGTAATGCTGTTGTGTATCGACGATATTCAAAGTAGTCGAAATCCAATCAATCTAATAGACAATGGTTATGAGACCATATTGATAGCGATTCATGAAAGTGTGCCAGAGGATCATCGGATTGTGGACAGACTAAAAGTAAGTTATTTTATTTCGAAGTATATTCGTGCTCAGATGGTATTGTATAATAAAGTGATAGTCGCGTCAGTTACGCTATTTTTTTCTAATTCTTATTTATCTAATTATTCATACACATTAGCAAATCAAATTTCTGTCAAGGTGAATAATGCTTTGTGTCATTAAATTATTAAAAGTATTCAGTTAAACTTTCATGTGTGTGTGTGTGTGTGGGGGCAAATCACAACAATAATGTCGTTTTAAGGTTGAGATACATATATAAAGCACTACGAGAAGTCAGGCCATCTCAGCTTGCCGGAAAAATAAAATATAAATATACATTAAGAAACTCTCGCCGATTGAATTCAATTATTTTGAATCACTAGCACGCACTTTGGGTGTTGTCGACGCTACGTGCAATAGTTCGCAATAAACGAAAACCCAAATGTTGCTGATATTTCAAAATTCACATCTTCAAATGTCTGTTCATTGTACTCAATACTCAATATATATCTGTAACTTATTATAACATAGTACAACATTATAACTGTGCATGAGGTTTTTTCTTCTAGATGGAACAAGTGTTGCACAAATTGACGAGTTGTTGTGTATGTGTGTTCACCATGAAAAAGTACATGTTTACAAACATCTATCTACATGTAGAGATGCCAAAAGTAGATACGTAATGATAATGGTGCTTATACTAAAAGTTTCTACAATTTAATACCTACAATGGAATGCCATCTAATCTGTGCAGTAGATAGGAACCACACCCTCATCTCAGTTTTCGAACATCGTAGTCATTGACGACGTCAACAATAGTTTGATGTGAACTTACTGATACATATTTTCATTATTAATAATGAAGGGGGATAACAAACTGAGAATCTCCATAGAATGTATAGTCGAAAATACAGAAATCAGGAAATCTCAAAACCTTGTGTTCGACAATACAACATGTATGCAATAGGTATTGTCGAACACAAGTACACTAAATTATCACATTTTTATCATCTTACCCTATCTAATGTCTCTGCACACATTTATAAAAGACAGATATCGCACAGGTTGAGTTGACCAATATCACTAGGCATAGGACATACAATATCGGATATAGAGACAATAACGCGGCCGTAACCAGGCGAACGTCACGAAGATCGATCGTCAACTCTTATGACCATGATCGACCGTAGTCAAGGAATATTCTAATGTCATATTGTGTCAATCAGATTTAAGATTTAACTGTCTTAATTGACTATGGTCATCTATAGTCATATTCATTGCACTTGGTTGCTAGCCTTGATAGTTCATGGTCGACCACCATGGTCAAACGCGGTCGGATATTTTGCATTTTGCCTGTGAGGAAAGCCTGGCGCACTGAGAGAAAATGTATACGCAACTATGTTCTAAATTTACCCGAAAACATAATAATCAGTTCTTACCGAGCATTATACAAAACACAGTATGTTTTTACATTCACAGAAATTCGCTTTTGATCTCACAAATGGCTATCAAACCCTGCGACAATCATAATATAAGTACAATCTCTGAGATGGAAATACATACCTAACTGTAGATCGTTAGACAAAAACTGAAAATTGTCAAGTCCAAGAACACATACAACACAAATGAAAGACAACAATCGACAAAACAATTCACAAGAGCAAAATAAAAACAATTGACAAGTACATTACACTACTTAGTCAAATTAGAGAAAGATATACAATGATAGTTTTGACGAATTTCTCTTTAAAATATGTACTACATGCCCTGGCATTTCGAGTGTGCTGTGTAATATATACCGAGTAAATCACTCTATATGCCTTGCTGAAATACGTAATGATATTTGGTGACGAGCTGCAGTGATGCAGACGTGACGATCTAAATATCAGATATGAAATATTTGCATGAGATATTGTTATCTTCGTACACCATGTATTAACATTTACCAAAGAATGTGTGACACAGTATACCCATCGGTTAAGAACAATGTATGGTAATCGTACTTATATTGTATTCTTCACCTTTAAGTTATTCTCATCTTGATTAATTTATGTATGTGTGTCTGTGATTTATGATGAGCTGAGAACCGAATACAGAAAGCTAAACACAACAGGACAACCGAGGCCTAAAAGGACGTTCGAAAGAAGAAATACATATTTTTGCACAAATTGTTCATCAATGTTTATAAAAGAATTTGAAACTTTTGAATTGAAATCTAGCAGTGATTGTTAATTGAAGTGTAAACACTCAATGATAGAAAAATGATATTCTTTACATATTATACTAAGGCATCTACCATTACTTCAGAAATAAAACGTGGTACACTTTTATTAATAGGAGATATTTACTGATGCATCCGGATTCGTGTTCCAAGGCACTTTTAATCGCACTTATTATCGAAATGTCACCATTCTCCTACCAAATACATGGAGTGACGAACTAAGAGAAGCGCCAGCAACGACGGAACGATTCGATATTGCTAACGTCATAGTGGACCAACCCAATCCAAACTATGGGGATAATCCTTATACAAAACAAACTAAATCATGCGGAGAGCTGGGCGACTATATCCACCTGACAGAACGTTGGTTAGTGGACGAGGATTATAGTTGGTACTACTGGGGAAATCCAGGTGAGTTTCAAAGAGGTGTGATTATGCCGGTCATTCGTCGTTGTAATATTATTTTAGTCATTACTGACACGTTAAAGTTGTTATTTTGGGATATTGAAATTTTATCAACAAAGAAGATCTATGGTTCCTCCCACTGACTTACCAAAGGACATCCCAAATAAAAGTCGATAAGTGTTCCCCATTTATCATACCACTATCACCATATTTATTAAACACTCTTCTGGTATGTATTGTTATTGGATATATTCCCCATATTCTACATGCACGGAAAGACATTTATTTCCACATTTCTCTCAAAATACTCGTTTGTGACGAGGTTTCTGTGCATGTGAGTGTTTAACAAGCATACTATTGATTGATGATAGTTTCACTGTGTGATATAAAGAAATTGTGTTCTTTTATCGACTTTATTTGCGATACTATTTGTCGTCGCACGTTACGTTACGTAATTCTATGGGAGGAACCATATCACTAATGAGTCGTTAACATACTAACAAATTTAAGGACACCAAATGTATCAGAAATTACCACAATACCATCACAACGATTGAAGACAAACACTATTATTACTGCAATCCCATGTGAGTTACAAAGAGGTGTGATCTCATGTCTGAATATGGTTGTTATTACTACGAGAGTTAAACAGAGATGTAAATAAATAAGTAAATAAATACACCATTATATTCACTTGTATTATCTTTTATCCTGCTTGGATGAACATCTCAAATATACTAACATAGAATATTACATTTATATGTGTATAGTTGGAATACCATATGTCGTTTGCCTGTAATTATTTACTCAGCCGAGAGTCTCTATTGTTGGGCAATATCTGCTTCGTGGAAAATCTGAGTGGCTCGTATTGATTCGTGCTTTCTACGTGTATAGTTAAACCATTGATGTACTAACGTTAATACGTCCATGCTTAAACTATTTTTGGTGTTGTCCACGATTAGGGCGTTGGTTGGTTAGCGCGTACGCCCCCATCGTCCAGTGCTACGTCGTGAGTTGCCTGTTGCCTGTTATTATGTGATTGTTCCTTTGATTATAATTGTTTGCTACTCGTACGTAGTTTACAGTTAAATGAAAGCAATCCAAACTAAGTGCGGAATTAAAAATGCAAATTGAGTAGAAAGGCCATAACTCGTTATGCAAATGAGTATTCACTAACACGCAAACCCCCATGGTGGTCTACAGTGTGTTAAATTTCACTATAAATGTTATTCCACAGGTAAAGTAATTGGACACGAATGGGCCCATCTAAGATGGGGTGTTTTTGACGAATATCCCACAGAAGAATATGAACATTTCTATTATGATGAGAATGGTCACGTGCAACCGAGTAGGTGTTCAGAAGCAGTCACAGGTGTATCGCTAGACATTTATGACGGATACAAAGAATGCAACAAGGATCCATCAAGTGGAGTCTTACCAGATTCAGGATGTAGATTTTTTCCCAAGTTAGAAAACAACGAAGCTACGGGCTCATATATGTATGCAAATTACCTTGATTCGGTAAGTGACATATCATACATTTAGTCATTAACAGCAGGTAACATAATAATTATAGAAATATTTGTAAGTTTTAAGAGCAAGCCAGAGTTCATCTATCAAATCCATACACAATTTCTAATAGTTTTTGTTCTGTTTTTAAATACACCAGGTGTTCACGTATTGTCATAGCAGCGATGATTTGGATCAAATGGCACGGCACAACAGACTTGCTCGAAATAAGCAAAATAAACAATGTTGCTATGACAGTGCTTGGGATGTGATGCTTGATTCAGATGACTTTGCAAAGGAAGCCAATCCCCCACGAGATATATTACCCGATACATTCATTCTTGTTGTACAAGAAGTGGAGTTACGAATTGTATTGGTACTGGATGTATCTGGAAGCATGGACGATGTAAGAACCTTGCTTATCTAGGCAACATTTTAAAATATTTTCGAGTAATTTTTATATATTTTAAAGTTGAAGTCATTATTATTATTATTTGTTTTACTGATTACGTAATACGAAAGTTTAACTTAACTTTAGTGTATCTAGACTAAACATTCAATTACCATTGCGATGCAATTACTATTTATCACCAGAACAATCGACTTGACCTCCTGTTACAAGCGTCTACACGTTATATTGGCTATACAGTTCCCAATGCTACCTGGATTGGAATTGTGGAATTCAGCAATGATGCAACAATACTATCCGAATTGGTGCAGATCGTTGGAGTAGAAACAAGAAAAGAGTTGATCGAGGAACTACCAGATGACGCCAAAGGTGCCACAAGCATCGGGAGTGGTTTGTTAGCTGGTTTATCCGTGCGTATTCATTCTGTAATTTTACAAAACAAAATATTGAATAGTAATTTATTATTTGCGAAATTATGAACAATTACAACAATTTTTTTGTGGAATGTATAAAACATTGTAAGTTAAGTGTATATTGTTTTAATAGTGAAACGTGAAAACATTTCGACACAATAACAAAAAGGTCGATTTATTGTGCACACTGCAGTAGGATTGTCATTGTCAATGCGTTGTTTTATTTTATATTAATGTAATTGTCCACAATTTAACAAGTGAATATGGAATATTAGGTAATATTTGGAAAAAAAAACATACTAACACAGGTCCTCAAGTACTAGTATTTCAGTATTGTCTCAGTATTATTAACCACTCTTTTCATGTAACAGTTTTGCTTCCTGTGTCCAAATGATAACTTGTTGTTAGGCTTAGAATTATTCAATTTGTTGTATTGATACTAATGTATTCGAATGCCAGCCGACATTATCATATTAATTATGTTTCATTAATTGTACTTGATTACAACTGCCCATTTCAATGCAACATTTTGTCCAGTGTCTAAGGACTTAACTGTCTCACAACTTTGTAAAAGCAGGTGCTAGAAAGAGGACCGGGTGGCGCTGCTGGCGGAATAATATTTCTTATATCTGACGGAGAAGAAAACACACCGCCTTACATGAAGGACGTAGTAGACTTATTGGTTCAAGAAGAAGTAGTTGTGGACACATTGGCTTTAAGTGACGAAGCTGATGAGGGTTTAGCGAAGTTGTCTGATGCTACTGGGGGTACAGCTTATTGGTATTCAGAGAGTGATGAATCAACTGCGTTACACGATGCATTCACAGATACAATTACTAGTCGTACTAGTACCAGTACTGATACACCAGTACAGGTATTGTAACTGTATTCGTGATTAATCCAACTTTATTTCAACGTTTTCATCACATGTTATCATGTATATTACATATCCAATGCGTTTTCATTCCTACATATAGTCGAATGACTCGTCATATATATTTTACAGTTAGCAAGTTATAAGACTGATGTCGAAGGCAGAGATGGTATATTTAAAGAAGAAATATACATCGACCAATCTATAGGCAGACATACTATTTTCTTTATATTCTGGGAGTTCGGTTCTGATCCTGTTGAAGTTGTTGTCCGTGATCCCAGTGGAAATATTATTGACAACCAGTCTGGCACGTATGTTCAAAACGATGACACAAACACCATTATAATACAAATTGAAGGCATAGCACAGGTGTGTATATTTGTATGTTCTATGATTATTTTTGAACTT